AGGCCTTTCAGCTTTACAGCAGTTTCAAAGTAGAAGCTTCATTATCTTTTTTTTAATCCTATATGCTTCATGTTTTTACACAGATACAGCTTCTCAGTGAAGATAAATGATAAGACTCTACCTTAAAAAGCCTTTCGGTTTTCATTAATCCATATTAGGTTAAAAGGGAATCAGAATTCTAAAAATATATCACATCAGAGAAACAAGGTATTTTTCAGGTCAAGGTCCTCTTTCTTTTCCATCTGGTGCCATTTGGTTGTTCTAACATCTTCCATCTCCCCCCACATCTCCATCTGTAAATAACTCACTGAAGTAAATGCTTGGAATAATTACAGCAAAGAATGATAAAATGCAGGTTAAATGTAATCTCTTTGGCTTCTTAAATGAAAAACATAACTGCAAATATCACAGTTATTGAAAAACTGTGGAGGTCTCCAGTCAGCAGGTGTAAGAAATGGGAATAATATCTGAGCATAAGATGCTTTGGGATTGCAATTTTGCTGTTCAAAAAAAATGTTCAAAAAAAAAAAGGAATATTAGTTCAGGAGAGGAGAAAAAATAGCCTATCAGGCCTGATTTTCCAAAGCATCCTGCAGTTTTGCTTCTACAAATAATTATAGACTCATATTTAAACAGTTAGATGTCTAACTGCTTGCCTTAATATATTAGGAAGTTGGAGGTCTAAGTACAACTAAATGTGTACGAACTTGCGAAGGAGGTTTGAAATGCTTCTAAAATTTATCAACAGGTAGACTGCTTTCCAGATGTTTATGGGAACAAAATATCTTTCGTTTTTGCATGAGGTCTGCACTGCCCCAAGAAACAGTCCTGGAGCTGGCCACAAGATAAAGGTGCATTAGCATTTTGTGGGTTAACGTGAATGAGACTATCTACTCTTGCCAGGTTTTGATTTCTCTATCAGGAATGCACAAAAGAGGCTTGATAGCCTCAAGTAGCCAAGAGCTACTTGATAGTAGGAAGTTTAATTGTTTTATCTGCTTGTAGTTTGGGACTTAGAAAGGATACCTGCTGTATATCTGAATACTTATTCATCTCTCTGGCCGGCTTATAAACGTACCAGAAACTGGCCCTTAGGATGTAGAGGCTCAGCTCCCAAGTAAAGGGTCCTTAGAGTGAGCACAAACACTGTGACCTCTTATTTTAAAGCCCTTTTGTATTGGCAATGTAATGTAAAGTCACCATAGTGAAAATAAGAATGGTCCCATTTAAACATCTCTAATTTGATAAAAAGTGCTGCCCATTACAGTGTAATATTCTCCCTCAAACTAAACTTTAGGCTCAGGGATAAATGTACTGACAAATCTTGGCTCCTATTCACACAAAAAATGTGCAAATGTCACTTGAAGTTGTTCACTTGGTTGGGACACTCCCTCTACCCCCATCTCGTCTCCTGCAATTAGCCTTTGCCCCCTTCCTCCCGCAGCTATTTCTTATGAGCTATTATGTTTTACCATCCTTCACATAGCAGTGCACCTGCTCTTGCTGCCCATCAGATTTGCTTAACTAGAGCTGAAAGAAAGCAATAATCTGAGTCTAAGCGCTAGCATGTATAGAGGCGAGAGCCTTCCAGAGCTCAGTTTCTGCCATACTCAGGATTACTGTTTCTCTCATTCTCAGCTCAGTAGAAGCAGAACAGATCCAGAGTGGTCCTCTTCTCCCCGTTCTCACTTCACTGTGGAAGCGCTCCCTGCCCCCCATTCCCAAATAGTTTAAATTTAATATTTAAAGGCAGGCAGAAGCATTAATATGTCACTAACAGCAACCTAAAACATACAGTGGACCAGCCATTTTGCAGCCTTTTAGTAGCAGGGAAGCAGGCACTCAGGAGCCCGAAGGAAAGGAGTAGGCGAGCGGGAGCCAGTAAAGAAAAGGCAAGAAGAGCAGCCTGGGGCTTGCGAAGTGGAGGTCACTGCTGTGTTGTTTGCCGCTTACAAAGAAAGAAAGATTGTATGAAGAACCCGCAGGGGTCTGTTTGGTTTTCCAGCATCACTGAGAGTTGCCTGATATGCAGACAAGCAGACTGCTTCTACAGCTTGTTCCTGGCAGCTTTCGCAGCAGAGAAAATGGCCAGAGCCATGAGAAGGTTAGCAAACTATCGAATGGGTTTTCCACTTTAACTTTGGAGAAGGGAAACGAGCCAGCAGAGGGGTGGATATTCCTGGTGAGTTTGACTCATCAGCTCAATGAGCAGTTCACTTGTCTTCCTGTCAAGGTGCACAGAGTGACAGTGTGTCTCAGTGCCTTTCAGGAGTTTCTCTGTCGCAGGGTTTGCTCAGCTTTCAGTCAACCCCCACAGAGGTACCGGTTTGTGACAATAATGCTGATCCCTGGGCAGCAGTGGCACGCCAGAAGAAACAGCATGACTTAGAAATAAAAGCTTGTATGTCTTCAAGGTTACCCCCTGGATGCAGAGACTGTTTCAGAGTCCCATCTTGGGGAGCATATGTGGTAATGGGAGAATCTTTGGAACATGTGTCACATGTAGCAGGAACTAACAGCCTAAATTGAAGTCACTCCAGTTGGGTACAAAGGCTACTTTAGGAGGAGCTTAGCTGTTTATATAGGTTTCAGATGACTTCATTTTTTAAAGTGCATGGAATTCATCCAAAGCAAATAATTTTTTTCTGTGTTGAATGGGAAGACCAAAAGGAAAAGTCTGGAGAAAGGAGGATGGATGGTCTTTCTTTAATGTCAAAGCTGACATAAACACATCTCCTCCAAACCCTTCTCACAAGATAATTTTCTCAGCAAGACACAGATTGCTTCAATCTCTGTGTAGCAGCCTTTGAAGCTTCTCCTTTATTGCTATTACAGGGGAGGGAGGGTTGCCGCTGAGAATTTCTGCAGCAGTGAAATGTTCCTCCTCCAAATGCCTTCACACAATGAGATAGCTGGTTGCCCCAAAGAGTCCCCTCTTTGGAACTCCTCTGCCACCACGTAAGGGCAAGCTGACAATTAGATATGTCACTCTTCTGCAAAACATTTAAATCTGAAAAACTGAAAAGGCTTAATCAAAAAAATAGTCTGACCAGCTCTATATAAGGCTTCAATTTTTGTTAGACGGAGGCCCAGCTAAGGAGATGATGAATGGTGTTGGAGAGGAGCCACCAATTAGGAGACATCAATTTTTCTGTCAACAGTATAACCCCTTCTACAAAACTTGTCATATGTTTATTCCTTCCTGTTTGTGAAGGTATTTGTTTGATAGGGATATTTTGCACGAAGCGAAGAATTTATTTTTTTTTAAAGATGTCACTGCTGCACTGTTTTTCAGGTCCAGTTTTCTGGGATATTTTCTGGGTTCAGACTTCTTGCTCTTCAATCTGTCTGCTGTCCGTAACTCTTACATTTGCGACATTTTGTGGGGGGGAAGCAAAAGAAAAGAAAAAAACATGAGTCTACTTGCTTTTGCAGTGAATTCTTGGGGGGAAACACTTCTGATGTGAGTAGGCTCTTTGGGGGCATCGGACTTGGGGCTGGAAATGCCTTCATGTGTGCAGAGTTTCCCAAAAGGGAGAGAAAGCATTTTTGAGCATTTCTTTTTAAAAAAATTTATGCCTGCTTTGCTTGCATCCTAAAACGTATTCCTCCACATTTAATAGTTTAAGATATAACTGAAGACATATGGACTTTTTTTTCCCCAATTTACACACTTTCCATACCCATATTCAGAAAACTTGATAGCTTCCACACCTCCTTTTACTAAATAAAAAATTTTACTCCCTTTACTTATGGGAAACTGTGTATATCCTTTATTCATCTTCATGCAGTGATTCACAGCTGCTGCTGTGTTTCTTAATAACTTATTGCAAGGCATTTTATGAAATCATCAGTAGCAAATGCTTAGCAGATACTAGAAGAAGAAACAAGTTCTGTGTGCGTGGGCATATATGTAATGCACAGAGAGCAAGAGTATATCTGCGTGTGTTATGATATTTGGCAAGAGAGTAAATGAGAGGGACAGATCTCTGGTGGAGTTTCAGATGGGCACTGGTAGATGCTGACATGACCTTAGAACGTATCAGGTTCTTACGTGGGAGCTCAGCTTCAGGAAATGGAGCCTATGATGACTGTTTTTTGAGGGGTGGCTGAAAAGTTACAGCTGTGTAATGAGTTCTACTGGGCCACTGAATAGATTCAAATTTCTTCTCACCTGTGTTGTGGACAGTGGGAGACTTGGCAAGGAACAGTTAAAGAATAGAAGGTCACTATTTAAATGTTATGTGTCCGTTTGTTGTAAATCGGGTATACAACCTCATAATCGTCTGGTATGAGGTTACGCTGCTCAGATAGCAGCTGTGTTGAACACGCATGTTAATGAGTGCAATATTTTTGCTCTGGATGCAGAGAGTAATGCAGAGCATTTATTAGTGGTCTGTAATATAGGTGTTGTTATGACTCCACTTCAGCCATGGGCAGCAGGTGATCTGAAGCACTCATCATGGTTTTGAAATTAGACACAGTAGTAGTCATCTCATTGCTTCTAATGTGAGATGGGTCAGGCTCTGAGCACATTCTTCTAGGGGTAACCATGCTTCAGTTTAGGCAGAGGTTAAGGTAAACTGTGGGATCTAACTTGCAACCTATTAACTCCTTTTTTAAAGAACCTTTGCACTGCAAAAACATTAACAGTTGTGTTCCACAACAGCTTGCTGTTTGTCTTCTGGGTGGAATTTATGCTTTTCCTTAAGTGTTGTGAGACTGAATCTGGCTTTTTGGAGGGCAGAAATCTCTCCTGAGATGGAAGATGGGCAGCTACTGGCAACTTGATCCTTGCCTGTAAACAACTTTGTGTTTAGGGTAAAATGTTCCAAAGTACCTATGTGATTCAGAATCCAAAGTCTCCATTTCAGTCGTTTTCAGACTCTGGAGGGACATGAACATGTTTTCAAAGTGTTATTCTCTCTCTGCTTTTTACAAGGTAATCCGTCACAAAGATGTAATAGCATCCTTTCTTCTTACTTGTTCCTCTTTTCCAGGTTGGCCTTCCTTCTACGATGTGATTAGTCCCGATGCAATTACTTTCACTGATGATTTCTCCTATGGGATGCACAGGGTTGAAACGTCCTGCAGTCAGGTTAGTTTATAGCACATACAGACCATTCTGATGGCAAAGGCTGCAAAAATCATTACAGTGTGCTGTACTTTCTCTAAGATTTGCAAACCTTTCTGATCCATTAAATAGTAATCATTGCAAGAGAGCACAATGGGTTGTAGGTATAACAGCTGGGTGCAACGAGCTGAAAGCACAAAGGGCTCACTGGAGTGCACATTGTTATCTAGTGTAAGATTTAACAGACTATATAGAAATGGTTGGATTCCGTGCTGAGTCTACAAAAATTGTCTTCCTAAAAGGGGTCCCTTCAAAGGAACCCTTGAGCCTTGCCGGCTTACCTCCGTACTTGAAGAGCTGGGACGGAAATGGAAAGCACTGGAGCGACAATGTGTGTGCTGATTCCATCACTGTGCATTACTGTGCAGCAGTGCTAACTTGTTCCCAACACTCATTCCCAGGGCATCCTTAATGGTTGCCTCAAACAATCCCATCTGCCATAGTAATGAAGTCGGTAGTCATTCAAAACAAACCAAAATTTTCCATTATCTGTCTTGTTCTACTTGCTTTCATCCTTTGTGTTGCCCTCTTCTCTGCAAAGGGAATGGCATAATCATTACCTAGCGAAAGAGGAGCTGCTGCGTTGGTGTTGGACAGTCACAGCCAGTGGCTGGCACTCCTCTGGCTCCACACGCTCAAATTCCTCCTGAGACAAGCAGCAGCTTCATTTGGGCTAAGAAAATTGGCTGTTCTGTTTCCAGACAGAGTTGGTGGTGGGATAAGTGATTTCTTCACTGAAGTTTTACGTTCTCACTAGTCACTTAGTTGTCATACATGAAGTGCTCAGTGTGAGTCAAGAAGCTTCCCGAAAAGAGGCAGGATTTTCTTTATGGAGAATCCATTAACTTCTGCCTGGGTAGAGGGCTTGACCTTACACAGGTATGGCCAAATCAGCGTATCTGCTAGTATGTCACGTCTACTAGATAATTGTATTATTTCTATATTAATGACATTCTTTAGGAGATTCATTTAGTACTTTTTTGAAACATCCATTTCCCTAAATTCCTTAGGAAGGCTGCATTGTGACCGCAGGCTGGGAATTTCCCACTTGTACCGTGTTCACTGGAAGAATCAAAAATGCAGCCTACTTTCTTCAGCTCTGCTTGGTAGGCCAGAATAGTGCTAAAAGCAGTGCATTGACAACCTGCTGAGCAGGCTATATCTGATGACTCCCTTCAAGAGATGGCCAGAGCTCCTGAGTTCGCCTTAGTGAAGCCCAGGGAAGCCTGTGGTCAGGCCGAGGAATCTGGGAATGTCATTTACCTGTTGCCAAACAAAACAGTGCTAGCAGACCTGAGACCAGCAGTATTAGCAGCAGTCACACACAGACATTATAAACTTAAAGCAAAACCAAAGTCTGAATTTACAGCATAGAGAAAAAAATATGGCTAAAGTCACTAGACAATCCAATGGCAACTTCCTATCAGTTATGCTGACTTCCTGGCAGAGTAACCCCACAGATGATCAAGTCACGCAGGAAAATAGCTTGAGGAGTGATGAACAGCTTTGCAGCCACTGCTCAGCGCAGTTAATACCATCACATTGTGTATCCATAACAAAACCATTTCCTCTGAGCCCTAGGAATGTGAATCGCACATGCAGCTGCAAAAGGAGCACAGTTTTACTGCAGCCTGAAAATGCAGTGGGATTGATATGGCAGGCCTTGGTCAAACTGAGGGGAAATACCCTCTCCCACACCCAAAACATTATTAATCTTTTTCAGATGAAAAAGTAGTTGCTTTTTCTTTAAATGTCCTTCCACCTGTTTGAGAGAATGAGAAACACCTCTTTTAAAGTTCTCTGTTACAGAGAGTAAATACTGGGGAAAAACTGCTATAATATAAAAGAAAGACATCAGTGGGATTATCCTAGAAAAAACTTTTGCAGTGTTTTGGAAATACATCACCCCAGAAATATTTAAAAGGTCAACGATTAGCGACAGGTAAAAGTTAATTGTAAATGCATTTGAGGAATAATCTAAAGCTGGTTGCATCTCTCTCTCTCTCTCTTCTTTCCCATTCAAGTGTTCCTCCCCCGAGGTCTCCCTAGCTATTATTTGTACCTGTAAAATATCAATAAAATTCTATAGACACAAAATACTGTTTGCACATTGATATCGCTGAATAAAGTTACAGCAGCTGATTGCAAGCTGCTTTCCATGGCTTACAGCAGCATATTAAAACCAGAAGCCTTGAGAGATCCAAGCATACTAACAGTTAGCAGTGACCCCCTCTGCCTTTCCTGCCCTGAAACACATATTTCAGATGCTTTACTCTAACCATTTCATCATCCCAGTGCATTCTGCCCAGTGTGTATATATATATATTTGTATGTATAGAGCTGCAACAGATTGTTTCTTTTTGGGAGGCTTTACAGACATTTATATAAGGCCTAGAAAAATGGTCAGCACCTATGGGTAATGTGTGGGGAGGACAGTTAAATCCATTCATCCTTTGTACTTTCAGCTGAGGGCCATGATTCTTACGCTGTGATACAAAGAATTGAATTACATTTCTTTCAGGGCACATAAGTTATGGAGTCTTCTACAGAGAACGTCTCCACATAAATTTTTAGCGAGGGGTAATCTCAAAAGGTAACAAATTTTGCAGTAATCCAATCCTGGTGTGATTCTGCCATCACAAGGAGGTGTAATGGGACTGCCTTGAACAGCTTTTCAGCTTTTGTGAGGAAAATCTTTTTGATAGATTGTCTTCATAGTTGGCCTATTTGTGAGTATTACTCCTGGAGACTGTTTCTCTCCTCAGTTTTTCTTTTTTTTTTTTTTTTTTCTCTCTACAGTTTTTTATTTCTGTCCATTGGAGAGGGAGTGATTACCTTTGTGTAAATGTTAATCTGAAAAAGATCTATTTAACAATTCTAGCCAGGAGATTTTTGAAGCAATCTTAGTTGAGATGATTTAATTAGGATGCTGAGAATTTAGAAAAATACTCTTTCTGGGACACTAAGTTTTGTTTTGTTTTTTGAGATATGGAAAGGCTGTAATCAGGTGAAATGCCACATTAGGAGAGACTCCACTCTTAGAAAGACCTCAGGCCTGCCCAAAAAGGCCTTCAGTCTCAAGGACAAGGAAATAAAGAAAATAAGAGGTAATGGGGAAAGTAAAGGGTGCCAAGGCAGCCGTCTTCCAGAGGCAAGCCTTGAAGCATCGTCATTTATATTTCTCGTGCAGCTTTCCCTTGCCTCTTCCTACTCATCCGGTTTTTTTCCCCTCCGGACAAAGCCAAGCAGCTACTTCGTGGGCCAATGCCGTTCCCGGTGCTTCTGGGCTCTCTCTGCGGACAACAAGGTCTTTGCAGGCTGCCAGCGCTCCAGCCGCCCGGGGGCCGTGGGGACAGCAGCCTGCCCGCAGCCTGGCTTCGTCGCCCAGCTGAAAGGCTGGACCTGGTCAGACTTTAGCCAGTGCTGTGTGGAGGTGCAGGCCTCATCTTCGCATACCTGCCTGCCCACTCCTGGAGTCGGTGACGTTTAGCATTTCACCTGTCATTATTCAAGAAAGAAAGGGTTTCCCTCCCCTCCTCGTTGGCGTGAGAGCCTCCTCCAAACTTTGAGAGAGTATAACCTGAACTAAGATTTAGCTGCTTCTACAGACACCCTTCTTAGTGCTTTGATGAGTTAAAGGCCATAACAGCAGGATAATGTTAGCAACATATTAACTGCAGGGCAGAGAGTTGCCCTCAGAAACTCATTCACAATTCAAAATAATCAGTATTGCCTCTATGCACTTTAGAAACTATGAATTAATTCAATGTTAAGAATCACTTGCAGTCCTTAATTTTTGCTGTCCGACCGTGAGCCCACGAACAGCTCTGTGATCTCAGTTACATCATTCCCGTTCTCACTGAGATCAACTACTGACTTGAAAGGCCAAGGCTCTTTGGTAAAGCAGCATGACTTTCCTGCTCAAGATAAATATTTCTCCAGTGCAAAGTTTTATTTTTTTATTTCTCATGGCAGGCTGTAAAAATGAACTTGTGGAATTTAAGTGACTAATTATAAGAAGCACTTATTACCTAGACAAGTTGTCAGCCGTAATGTGCAGTGATAATAATCCTAATTTCTGAGTAACGGCCAACTGGATCAGCTTCTTCCTAATACTGTACTCTTCTGCAAAGCAAGGGACTGTTACTGTCTTCCAGACAGGAGCAGTAATGTTCACTGTTCATACCACTTCACATATCTGAAGCCAGTTCATACAGAACAGAACTGTCATGAGACCATCTGTAGTTTCACATTCCTTGCGGAAAACAAATTCAGCATCATTCCTGTTTGTAAATTACTCCCAGCTAGTGGTCATTCAGAAATACATTTCTGTCCTACGGGTGTTTTTCAATCATCTGTCCTATATACTACAGAAAGTAGTATGAGATGAGTAGTAGATGAGATTCATCCCCTCCAGGGGCAAGACACAGAGGAGCACCAGGAGGGACCCTGATGCTCTTAGGTTTTGGAAAAACGACAAGCTGTGGGAAAAAAAAAAAGATGTGAGGGCATACTCCGAAGTGTATCCTTACTGCTCTAGGTCCTTGTGAAGATTGCCAGGGGGTTTAATGTTTCCCTTCTGAGGGGTGAATCGGATGACCACAGGCTGAGGAATGCCTAGAACTTGGGTTCCCCCTTTCTTACACGATTGTACTTTTAGTGTTAAGTGAGATGTTACTCACTTAACTCCACTTAACTCACTCACCACCATGTTTTCAGCTGAACTCACACCGTGAGATCATTACACAGACAGGCAGCTTTTCAGAAATAATGACCCAAGTGGACATATGCAGTGGCACAACAGGAACTCCAGGAAACCTGGGCCGGCAGTCTTAGGCTCCCGTGGTGTCTCAGGCAAGGTTTCTTGGGTTGCTCTTGTAAATGCAGGCTCTGAATACTGCTGGGAGTGGCAAAGCAGGCACCTATGGGCTTTCTTGGAACTGGCTGCTAGTCATTGCTCAGTACCACTGTGACACCACCACGTTTTGCAGAAACACGGTGATGCTCTATTGTTTTGTTTCAGTGCGGTGCTCACCTGGGGCATATTTTTGATGACGGACCTCGTCCAACTGGCAAACGATACTGCACAAACTCTGCTTCATTATCTTTCAAACCAGTAGACAAGAACAACGCTGGAGAAGGCAGCGGTAACACCCGTCCTGCCCAAACAGGCAAAGCTGAGCTGTAGGACAAAGCAAGGCCTGCAGAAAACTGTTCGGATCCCACACAGCTTACAAGGAATGTTCTCTGAATTGCCTGCTATCTTATATCCTAAGAATGTTTAAATGCTTGAAACCGTTCTGCATCATCCTTTTTTCTTCCCCTCTCTTTTGGAATTGAGGCCTTGCTTGCCAGTGTATTTTGCTATGTAATTGGATTTAAAAATGTGTTGACTGAATCCAGGGATTTTCCCTTTTTTTTTTTTTTTTTTTGGAGATTGCTTTGGGGAATCCTTAAATCAAGAGGCTTTTGCACCATTAGTTTCTTCTTAATGCTGTGTTACTCTAGGTTTGAACGGTTTTCCTTTTTGTTAGGGAGATGGGAACTGTGGCTATCACCCGTCTATAGGAAACTTCTGGGCGTAAGAAAATCCTGAATTCCCAGCACATCTATGCTTTGTTCTGACTTGTGAGGCATGCAGCCTTTGGACATATGTATTCAACCATCTTCCAGTATCAACCGCACCCTGCAAAAACTTGTACTTATGGCTGTTCCTTCCCAACTGAGAGAGATAGATTAGATGTAAAGCCCATCCTTTGGCTAATTTACTGCCAAAATTTCAAGGGTGTGGTTGAACAGATGTAAGCATTGTCTCAGCATCTATTTTTCCCCTTTGTTCAGTATTTAAATCAAGGTTTTAACTAGCAAGGCTCACTTACGCAGGTCACTAATGAGACACTGTCTGTTTTTGTGAGGCCTGTTCTGCAGCTATGACTCAGTTCTGAATTAAAGTTGAAATCTGCAGGGGGTAATTGTACAGACAAGTGCAGAGATAAACTGGAGAACTGAACAAGATGAGGGATGACACTAAGCTCTTCATCTTGTTGGTCGCTACAAGGGTTCAGAAACATGACAGTTTCAGCTAAAAGAGAGCTTAGGAATGCAACAGAAAGTGGGACACCCTTGTGAAGTATCCAATTTGAAGTTTAAGCTGCCTGGACATGTAATGCCTACAGGGCCACAGCCTTTATTTCGGGTAACTACACTGTGGGTCACGAGTGAGAGAGCTGATTCAACAAATGAATATGAAAAAAGCCTGGCAAAGCTCCAGAAATTTTCACATTGTGACAAAGTATGCTGCCCCGCAAGATGTTTTTCACAGCTGCTCTTAGATTTTGTTCAATAAAAGTTAGTCTAGAATTATACATAATACTGTTCTTTAATCTGTAATGATACAGTATTAGCAAACACCACTTTGCCTTTAAGTGCTGAGTGACTTATGAGATACAGTATTTTCTTTTATTAGCAAACTTTGTGACTGACATATTTAGATCCAATTTTGTTTCCAGGAGGAGCAAAACAATAACTGATTTTAATGGAAGCAGGATTGAGGTTTTTATGTCAGTGATAATAAACATTACCTGAAGTACAAACATCCTTTAGTTAAAATAGAGCTACTATAAAAGCATACAGAATGGTCAAAATTGCCTTTTTTAGCAACATAAGGCAGGCATGAAAAATGCATACAATGCCTTAACGTAGGATAGATGCAAATAAAGAGGCTAAATATTTAGAGCTAAAACATTCAGCCTCTGTGGTAGTGAGCACCTCTTTGCATGAGTATTCCCCCAGATGTCATGCAAGCAATTGCTCATCAGCAACAGGAAAGGCTGTGCAGCCTGACCTTTGGTGTTTCAAGGCAGTCGGGTTTCTCCTGATCCCATTGCTTTTTAGCAGTTTCTTACAGAAGGATTGCTCTTATCCCCTGCCTTTATTTAAAGAAAAGTAAGTTTTCTCTACCACATTTTCTGACATAAACTTAAAAAAGGCAGCATCTATAAAAATGTGGTACATAAATGTGGTTTAATTCCAGATTGCTGTTGGATTTAAGTGCTATCAAATTTCAGTGTATTTCTGCCTTATGTTAAAGAAATATATTACTTAAACTTCAGTACGCAGTAATGTATGCTGTCCTACAGGAGATTTATTTTTGCAGGATATGGAGTGCAATGAAATGAGTCAATATGGTGAGGTGTATGTGATCTCTGGGAGTTAGACCATTTAACATAGGAAATGCATTGTTCTCTCTTGCGCGCAAACTATACCACAGCACAGTGCAAGGTAAGACAGATTTCCTTTTATTGCTCTTAGAAGATGCTAGGAAGGGCTGGTATTAAACACTCCAAATTTCGTTCAGTCTGGTTGTGGTCGTAACAGAGGAAACTTAGGAGCTGAGCACAATATAGAGAATATTTCTGTATGTTAAAATTTTGCACTGCCTAGATGCTTATAAAAACTGAATGCAAATTATGTAGAAATAGCAAATTATATTTTATAATCTCTCTCTATTGTTACTCAGATGTTTAAATAGCATACCTTAAAATATCATGTAAAAGTCACATATGTTATTTATATAGATTATATATATAAAATATTGCACATGTTTTTTATATATATATATGTACACATGCATATATCTATCCAAGTATAATTTTAGCCTTCAATACCTTTTTAATAACTGTAAGCCTTTCCTTAAAAGAGTTCAATACTTTTAAGAAAACGAATATACATTTTTCAAATTAAATTTGCTTTCATATGTTTGTTGTACACAAATATACAATAAATTTATTTATAAATAAGCATGATTTTGTTCTTTTCCCTTATTTATCTGTTTTTATGGATGAGCCCCTAGCTGCAGCATGTCTTAGGGAGCTGCTTTCATTTGCTTCCCCTTAACTTACAGTGTGTACTGTGAATATTGTACATCCAGCCTTTTATCTCTAGCAGCTTTCGGAAGCAGGGGCAAAGCACTGCAGGGTACTAGGTTTCCCTGCACTTACCAGCCCCTGGGAGAATATTTTAAGGATCCAGGTATAATTGAGACTTGGGAAATATTTGGAGAAGGGCTCAGTTTTTACCTTAGCAAAAGTCTTTGGCCACTTCCAAATGGTGTGGTGCGGGGCTTGGTGGCTCCCCCACTTGCAGGAGCCCTGCCATGCCTGGGTTTAGTCTGCAGCTGAGGAGTCTGGCAGGAAACTCGGGTTGGTCAAGGATCGGTGTCGAAGGACGCAGGTTTGTAACGCCCCATTGGAAGCAGATTGACATACTTTGATAAATTATCTCAACAACAAAGTTTTTAAAAATGGGTGCGAGGGAGGGCTTCAGGGAGGTTCCTGGGAACGTGAGAGTTACTGGTAGATTCATTCACATGCTAACTGTTCTCAAGTATTGCAGGGTATCCTCGGACAGCTGACACATTCAAGCCTTATTTTACCACTTTAGTATAGTATAGAAAATTATCTCTTCCAGCCTTTTGCCTCCCACCTGCTCACTCATTTCAGAACTGCAGTGATTGCTGTTTCCAAAATGAGGCACTAAGTGGTACCAACTAAATGGCTGCCACTGGCCCAGTGCAAGGCATGGGGGGCTGGGGGACTCCCATCCTGCTCTAAGGCTCAGCTGCCATTTGAAGCACTGCCATTGGTTTTGCTTCCCTTGGAAGTGAGCTGCTGCCTTTGCAGCATGGGCAGGCTGGGTTTCCCTGTGTGCAGGGTGGACATGTGCCTAAGACGCACATACCGGCCACCACTTCAAAAGCAGGGAGATTGCTAGTAAGAAGCTGCTCTCCCCACTGCTCCCAGAGGTGCCTTGGCCACAGTGTGAGAAGCAGTGATGGCAGGATCAGCGACACGAGAAGCTAGTTAACTAACCACTTTGGGACTGTGCTAATATTGTAGCTATATTGCTTCCATATAATAAAGACATCTTAACTGTAAACCTTCTTCATGAGCTAAATCAGCTTTCATACACCAAAATATATGGTGTGCATATGTGAAACTGGTTAGACCCAGGGGCCCTACTGCACTGGCTATAGCATGTATCCTGCGCAGATGGCAATAGAGTGACAGCTAGATTTATATATCACCCTGGGAAAAGAGAGAGGCGCTTGTTGTGGGGTAATGCACTGGCCTCTTTATTTGTACTCACGGATGAGTGGTGTTTGTCTAAAAGCTTTGTCATCTCTCAGAATAAAGGGCAAGATAAAAGTGAAGCGCCCAACCCTACGTCCAGTGGCCCAATACAAGGCGGAGATGATAATGTCCCAGGGGATCAGGCCTGCCCGACCTGCTAGCATGAGGCGTGAGACATCTTCTTGCCACCTTAACAGCTGACAACAGTGGAGCTTTCTTTGGCAGTAGATAAGCTCCATTTTATTTCCCCTCCTCCTTCACCCCAAAGGATGGATTTATTTTTCCCTCTGTTAAACAAGACCGCATAATAAGTCAACATTTCTACTGGAGTAATACTGAAGAGCCCATAGTCACAAACCTGATACCAAGTGTGGATGTGGATGTTGGTACTCTATCGACTGTACTGAAACGTCTCACTCTTAGCTCACTTGGTCTCGTTCTGCTGTCCTCCATTTACCCCACCGAATTTGGTAGCAGTTGGGCCTGCAGAGCAGCTGTGGGCTTAGGCATTCGCTGGCATGATGTACGTCCATTCTTCTTCCCATTCATATCACAAAATGAATGTGGTTAATGTCAGCGCATGGCCAGCAGTTCTCAAGCTTCTTACCTGCGGTCTGTGCCGGCATGTGAAGTAGATGATATAAGTGACTTTTCTAGTCCTAATTCAGAGTTTCAAAATCATGCCTTCTCTCTTCCTATCCCTGAAGAGACTTTAAGAGTGAAAATAACACAAATGACAGCACATTAAGAATTAAAATCAGTGTGCTCTATATCCATTTGTGAACAGAACAAAAGGCAGAGTATTTAGTGGCAGTAGAAGCCAATTGATGAGCTTCGAAATTCAGTAGAATAAAGACAAAATGTTGCTTAGCTCCCGAGTAAACGGAACTAATAGTTCTTGTTTTATTGACTATTAAAATGAGGCCACCTACAGGTCTCACAATAAACCTGCAAAAATGTTTAATCCTGCATATTTGAATAGCTGCATTCCAGTCTAGCTTCCTCCCCCTTTGTTACAAGGAGAAGTGATGAATCACAGAGCCTGACTATGCTTTTCGGATCAAAGCCATGACAGCGGTCAGGACTGTGTTACTTTTACAGTCACTTAAAAAAAATAATAGTGCAAAACAATACTTCTAAATGCACCAAGATCACTGAAATCACTGAAATAGCCCAACTCCATGCAGGTTAGGCATGTGACGTCCTGAGATCCTGACACAGGCCACCAGTATAGTATTAAATGCACTAAGCAAAAAGGTCTCAGTCATGTCCACATGTTTTTGGGATCAGGACCTGCTTGAGCAACACAAATTAAGCAGAAATAATACACTCAGAAAGGTTCCCCAGAGACTTATAGCCAGCCTTCTCAGACCTTCTGCCCAGCCAACACAGGTCAGTAGAAAAAGAGAAGTTCCAAAAAAACAGAAGAGTAAAACGCTTCCAGTTTCAAGCTCTTGTTTCATTCCCTTCTTATGAGACAGCTTTAAAATACTTGAAGACGTTTCACTCTGCAGATGTCTTAGCCAGGGCAGTCTCATTTGGTGCTCTTTACGATTTCAGTGCAGATGATACCTGCTGTATAACTTCTTTTGGCCAGGAACTTTTGCTTCCCTAATGCAACAGGTCTGTTTCCATCACCTCCATTTTGAGGTGATGGAAAGGATTTTCTTCTCTTTTCTTTTTTGATAGCTGACATTCCAGACAATGATATGTTATTTTTTCTTTTCACTGTAGTCTTAAAACTGTCTAAACTGTGGCTTCACATTCTGCCTCAAACTCAGTACTTCTCCCTTCCTGTCTGCCCAGGTGGAAGGAATATCTGTTCCCTAAAATACAAACAATCACCTAATGGTAATATAAGAACCTTGCCAAATCTTTTGTGCCCTCTGGCTGGGAAAAGTAGCAGTTCTTTGGAAAAGCAAATAAAATATGTCTTTATCATCCCATTAAAGAGGACAAGTTGATTTTGTGTGTGGGCTAGTTAATTTTCATGTTTTTCCAGGCTGCCCTGAAAGCCTTCTTCTTGTCGTCTGGGTATTGTCTCCTCCAGTTTACAACTTTATTATTGTATGTTTCATACAAACATGAACATCTGGAGAACATCCTCAGGTATAACTGCTGGGCAGTGCAGAAAATATCTGCATGATCTGAAACAGGTTTTTCTTCCCATGAAAGTACACCCTTGGGACTGGGAAGCTTAGAAGATCTGTAATGGTGTAGAGATCCTTTCACCTCCAGAGCACCACTTCATATTTGGCCTGGGTCTGTAACAGCCAGAATCGCTGGTGACTTTTTAGCTTTTCACTGTTTTCTGTGAAAAAGTTTGGTGCTGGTACCAGTTCACAGAAATCATTGTGCCAGTACCCCTTACAGCCTCAGCGATGCTGGCACTGAGGAGGAGATTGAATTCCTTGCTGTAGGGGCAATCCATCTGTATAAAGAGAGTAGCAAAGAGGTGGAAAGGTAAGGTTGAGAGTGGGAAGAGGAAAGAGGAATTTGCATTTTGACCCTTGCTCTTTGCCCCTCCTGTTCAGCTTGAATTATGTGGTTTTCCACTGTGGCATGATGAGACCACAGTCAACTCAGGACAGTTAAAATAGCAGATGCCTCTGAAACAGTATGAAAATAGCTCCAAATTCTTAACTTCACTGTGGTATCTAACGCCATTGACTTCAGTGAAACAAAGCTGTTATAGAGCTGAGGGACGGAAAGGACTACCATCTTCAAAATACTTGAGACAGATAAAACATTTTCAATGCTCATTAAAAACTTCCTGTGTTAATAGGATGTATTTGGAAAATCCCACTCCCCGAAACAGCCAATACAACAAACAAGAATCATGAAGTCAGCGGACCAAAGTCTCAGAAGGAAGATCTGTCCCACCTAAAGCACAGCGCTGCTGATCCCTGCACTACGCTGGGAGACAGTTGCCCAAGTTGCCTCTGTGCGTGCATTAGTGCCCCATTTTCACATATTCCTTTATATGCTGATGAAGACACTTACAATTACAAAAGGTTCATACAGCTTTGCTGCTTCAGCCGTGCTGTACAGGATTTTGAGGAAACCTATCATTTTATTCTTCTTCCTAATTTGAACAAATTCTAGGAAAGCAACTGAACATTTTTTTTCCAGATCTGAACAAATTCTGAACAATCTCTAGAATTTGTTGTCCCCACAGTATCGCCTTCAGTCCTGCTGGCTAGCACCAGCCCAGGCGGTCACAAGTGACCATGAATTCAGCATTCTCTGTTGAGAAATTACAATTTTATCTTTGTTTGGCTAGAACTTTTAGTGATCTGCCAACTCAAAATCATTGCCTAATATATCGTTAAAGGGAGAATCTGTTCCAATGTACTTCTATGGCATGTAAGCAGCTCCTACCAGAGCTTGAGCATTCCAGCATCCTGCAGAGGAAGGAAAGCTGTGCCTCAAATCATTTATACTGCCGATTTTCTTTTCAAATAAAATATTTTTTTGTTTTTCAAGGTCAGACACTTGGGGCTGTTCAGGTCACAAGACGCCAGAGGCTGTTTACTTTGGAAAACAAGGACAGCAGTGGTGGGAGGTACCCTAAAAGCAAC